AGACCGACCTCTTGCACTTTTCTCCAGGTAAAGGCAGAGGTGACATCTGAGTTTGCATCCTGGAAGAGGGCCCCAGCAAAACTTGAACATACTTGGTACGTTGACCTTAGACTTCAAGCATCCAGAACTGTGAGAAATAAGTTTCTGTTACCTATAAACCACTCAGTCTCTAATATTTTATTATAGCAGCCCAAATGGAATAGGAATGATAAGTTTAAGAAAAAATGCTCAATTCATTATTTCATTCACTCAAAAGAAACTTTTATTGAGATCATACTATGTGCTAGTTTCTGTGCCAGGTACTATGGATAGGATGGCAACAACATATGGTCTTTGTGATAGAAATGTCACAGGGGGCTGGGGATGTGGCTCAAGCAGTAACGCGCTCGCCTGGCATGTGCAGGGCACTGGGTTCGATCCTCAGCACCACATAAAAATAAAATAAAGATGAAGATGTTGTATCCACCGAAAACTGAAAAATAAATATTAAAAAATTCTCTCTCTCTCTCTCTCTCTCTTAAAAAAAAAAGAAATGTCACAGGAACTTCCTTGAATTCATCATCCAATTTGCAACAACCACCAAACTCTTTACAAAATTCAGAGCAACATTTGGGATGCTTCTGGGAACAGAGTGAAAGTTTTGACCCTGTCTTCAACATGAAAAATGCATTTGGGAGAATGAAGACATAGAACAAAACAAAACGAAAAACAGAGAAACCCAGAAGAAAACAAAGAATAGAAAATTCTTATAAAGAGTTTAACTATTTTGGTCATCTGGAGTCTGAGAGATCTGGACATGCTAGAAGTTTTTAAAATTGCAAAGAGAATGAATTAAATAACACAAAAAGGCTTAAAGCAGATGCTCAAGCTTGAGACTTTCTGGGTTCAAATGTGGATTCTTCTGTTTTCTAGCAGTATGACTTCACGCAGAGTACTTAGCCTATCTATATTTCTGTTTCCCCATTTAAAATTAATGTTAATAAAAATATTTACTTAGAACTTGAGTGTGAATGTGAAGATTTAAATGAGTTAATGCATATGAATCACAGGAGCACTTAGCAAATAGCAGGATACTCAATAAATATTGCCTATTATTATTCATTTTCCAAGTTCTAGATCTTTAGAATTGAGATCTGTAAAGGTAAGTGGGCACATTACTGCACACTTGGTCATCTAAAGGACCTTCGTATGTACCTAAGTGATACAGCGTGAACCTACTAAGAGATGCTGAGAGGATTAGATTAATTCTTTACTACAGATTAACTATCCCTTATCCAAAATGCTTGAGGCTGGATATTTTGGACATTGGAATATTTGCATAACAATAATGCAATTTCTTGAGGGATAGGAAACATATCTAAGCACAAAATTAGTTTATGTTTTATACACACCTAGTACATATAGGCTTACAGTAATTTTATACAATGCTTTTTGTGTATCTGCATTTTGATGGCAAACCATCATATCAGTTCAGGTATGGGTTTTCTGCTTTTGACAGCATCTCAAAGATCAAAAGTTTCAGATTTTGGAGGTTTTTGAGATTTCTGATTAAAGATGCTCAGACTGTATTAGACCTATAGTAAGTTGGGAAGGAGTTTGAGACTGCTTAGAATGCCTGCTTGTCTTTCAACTTCACATCTCACAATACACTTCAGCTGTGGCTATTAAAGTCAGAGACTGAGGTTCTGGAGGCATCTTCTAAGGATAAAACAGGAGTGCTCAGCTTGGTAGAGGGGCAAAGGTGAACAAGGCTTTGATGTAGTAACACATAATAAATAATAATAGGTCATCCACCACAGAGGAGAGCCTTGCCAGAGACTCATGATCCAGAAGTTAGTTTTCGTTTTTTATTTACATAAAGAAAATAAGTTTCTGGACCTAGGCAGAATCTTCTGACAAAAAAAGCAGCAAGTGTTTGTGAAGTCACAAATGGGGGATTAGTGAAAGAACCGGACTTCCTAGAAAGATGATCTGCCTGCCTAAGTGAAGACAGGGAGTTCACTGATTCCCCTATCCAGCCAGTCACCTCTGAGTGGCCAGTAGAGGCCACACTGGACTTTGAAAAGAGGTCGAGGCCTGAGATCAAGCTTGACTTTGTCCATGCGGTCTCCATTCTCTGGGCCTCAAATTGCCTTCTAGGTAAAACAAGGGGCAAGGATTAAACACCAAAGTAGAACCAAAAGAACA